AGTTCTATGCAACAGAGCACTTATCATCGTTAATGGAAAACTTAAATTAGTGAAAGCTGTGAAACTTGGAAGGTTATGAGGAGTGGGCCAACCAAACAATTTCCAGTTATACAGGTTGGACTATTCTGGTGGAAAATATATTTGCACTTTTGACAAGTGTCAGCGTATAGCGTTGACAATATTTGACATCACTATTCCGATCGAAGTATCTCTGATTTCCCCCTTGAATTATAAAGAAATCCTGAAGTGATGACCGTAGCTAGCAGATGTGAGGTAACTGCTAAACGAAGTACTACAGAACGCCTATATTTCCCTAAGTTTTGGTGGCATTACATCTCTTGAGATTGTAGGCCGTGGCATCCGATAACTGAATTACGACTTCCCCAGCCAGATCTTCAAACTGTTGAACGACGATCGGACAATAATGCGCAGCAAAGCCAGCTTGAAGCAATCGTATCGGTGGATGGGTTAACGAACATCAATCTAGAAATATGGTTACTGTTGCTTTAAAAAGTAATCGAATGTCTGCAAGCCTGATGGAGCTCGCGGCCAAACTCAATATTTCGCGATGAGTTCTGTCGGGATCATCTAAAGCGCGCGAACTGGTGAAAATATCCAACCGGTTACTTTCACACTAGCTGGGTTTAGAAAACAAACTAATAGGTAGCACAAACCGACTGCAAGTGAGTCCACACATTCCTTCAGCGATGTTTGATCAGATTCCAGTAAGAATAGGAGGATGCTTTTCCTTGAAGTGCATTCACGAACGCAGAAGTATAAACGACACCGATTCGCTATCGATCGAAATGGACACTTTAAGTGCCATGCGATTTCTCTATCTACACCCGAAAAGGCACAATATTCGCCTTTTTTCCTATAATACCAGTCAGAAAACCATATCTCCAAAGGACGCGTGAAGGATATGGTTAGTCCTGAGGAACGGGAATCAGGGCCAACTGCACGCTCGCATTCGAGCGATACTTGGTATTTATGAAGTCCTCCGTGAGGATCGTCAAAAGTTGGGAATATCAGTTAATTGCTGCACAGTATTAAATTCTTAACGATATCATTTGGGTTGAAATTAGAAATCAATTCAATGCGCAGAGCAAATCGAGACGTTGTTTGCGGAGATGTTCCACCCTAGATTTGTTCTGATAAAGAAGCAGTATTCTAGATAATACCAGAGTGCCTTACTGTGCTCCTAAAATCAAACTTACCGGAGAGGATGTGGTATTGTGGAAGTAAAGAACATATTAATAACTAATTGTGTCATACACTGCTCCTTGATAGTATCAGGGAAGTCATTACCGTGGGGCGGTAGTCAGGAGGAATAGGATATTCAATAGTAATAATTTCTAATACTGTATGTTATCGATCTTGTTAATGGGTTGAAATATTGGTATCTGTGGTGTGTGTACTGGTGTTTGATCAGATGATGGTTGATCTGTTCGCCGAGCTTGGCATTTGGCGTCGATCTACGAACATGAACAGAAAAACTGATAGATGTTTCAAGCAATAGTGAAATTATCTGATGAACCCTATGGTGGATGAACGCAAGATTCAAAAAGATAGACACTAACTTTTTCCGTAGTGAAAGAGAATTTCATCGTTGAGCGCCTCGCATAAACAATCAGGCAAACTGGCGATAAATGTGGAGATGAAGAGGAAAAACCACAACAGTATTCAGCCATTCAATGTAAAGAAAATCCCCAACACTTGCATCCGATGGCGCAAAAATGTTGATTTTGGTTGAACGCTGTTCGTTACCATTGTTACTGATTATCCATTGGTGCGCGCATGAAACTTTGCTGTTGGTTCTTGAAAAACGCCAAAATTCACTGGGCTTTAGTCGTGTGGATTGGATCAACGTATGCTGCAGTTCATACGTAATCCCTTTTCCTCATTAAACAAATAAATACACAAGGGTGGTTTAGCTGACATCGACGGCAATGAATCCTAACCAAGTCATCACTGAAGTGAACAATATCAAACTGAATATAAGGCGTCCTAGCTTTCCGATAGGTATCAGTGAGCTGTATTTTGAAGGCCTTCTTTTCAACTAGGCTGTATAGCATTGTAATACCAACTCATATGTAGCCCATCAAAAGGCATTTTAAATATTCGAATGCGCTTCTTATGCAGTGATGTGTGGTTTAATCAAATTACCCAGCTATGTTTTGGTGGACTCGAATTGTTTTACCGTTGTCTCCTTGTAAAAAAACAGGCCTTGCTGACCCAGCCGCTGCTTTTGCATCTTTGTTCGCCGTTGTGCTGACAGTTTTGATTCGAACTTTATTTATACTTGTCCGCTACTGTTTTGATGCCTCACGACTTGAGAACCCAAGCATGACTGAATGTGTCTGTGATCTCACAGACACCTATGAACTCGTTTAGACAACACTTATTTAGTTAACCCATTAACAAAATCACAACACATTCAGCGGGTTGTTTCGCCTGGGTTATGGGCTGAAGTTGCACGCCAAGGTACGCGTGACTGTGTGGACACGTGTGGACGCATGGTTACTTGTCAGATCGTCTGACAGTATTGTGGCAAAAAGTTGGTCCAACTGGGTTATCCCCTTTTTATATACTTTAAGAGAATCATAAAAATGGGAGTTGGGTTGATTTTTTTTATTCTGTAGGTGCCAAGTTGACTTTTAGTGACCATGATCTAAATAGATTATTTCGGCTTTATCTGTACTCTATTTACAGACTACATTAGGGCTAATATTACTATAGAGCGACACTTATTGCATCGAAAGCACTCAACCAGTAAATGACAAAACAAGTTGTGTCCCCATAGTACACTCTGGGAACTGCGGTTTAGCGCTGGGAACCCGTAGACAAGTACTCGTGTAAAAAGTCAAACGGCACGCATGACGTCCGAAAATTGGGATGCATTTAAATAAATTCCGCCTACTGCATGCTCCATCGGAGAGGTGCAACATTATGACAACCATTTCCGTTGGTTTATTTTTACCCACACATGCATTGTGACGAAATCAGGCACACATACAGGACGTAGCTGCATACATCAGCGACAGACAACATCTCGGTAAGCATATAACTGGCACCTACACAGAGCCTATCTGCTCTCTGGCACGAGCTCGGTCACAACACCATACTGACACGCATCACAGTAACAACCAAAGCCTCAGCCCTTGTATGTACCTGACCGGTCCGGTTCCGCAAATCGGCTGATCAGCGGACTCCATAACCTTACGAGCTCCTCGCCCTATTGATTCGTGCAACGCGCAGACCACTCGTGACTGTGCGAATGTTGAGTACCAGAGTCCTGCCCCTGACGGTGCTTTTATTCAAGTATTCATCGGGTGTTAAAAGTTAAATTTCCCTGTATCAATTAAACATACTCAGCAGACAGGTGAAGTCTGTGTATTAGGTTGAAACTTGCCTAAATAGGTTGAATAGACTTGTTTGTAATTTGGTAGTTTCGACATTCGGGGATAGAACCCAATGCTAGTGAATAGTTTTGCGGTTAAAAAAGGATGTAGCCAAACATGATATTGGTCGGTAGATCCAGCTACAGTTTTAATTTAGTCATAGAGATCCAAGGGATATCAAATAAAGTGTGCTTAGTAGATAATGTTTGGAGTTAGCGGATTAAATCAAGCCCAGAAGCTTTGCTCACTGGATTCCTTGGCTCTTATTAGCTACTGTTCTTCGGCTGTGATCAGGCTCTTATTGATTTTGCCCGCAATTTTTTTTGCTCCGCTCATCACCTAGAAGGTGAGACGTGGTAGTTAATCTGAGCAGAGCTCTTGCTTTGTCTGCATAGTCCGATTTGTCCATGATGCCTACCATGCTTCCTTCATCCGCAATGATTTCATCTTCCCCCAAAATTCTTCTGAGGTTCCTTTTCCTTGTTTGAGATTAGGTTGAAAGTTCTGCTTCGTGTGAAGGAAGGAATGGGATGATGCGGAATCCGAATCAATCAACTGGGCGACCCAAAACACAAGCAGAACAATTACATACACACATACATACATCAGTTAAACGCACATACTAAATGCAACTTGATAGTCCGAATTCTCTGTAACAGAAGGGACTTCTCAAGTGACATTGCTAGGCAACCACAGTTTGGTCAGCATTTCAGTGACTAATGTATGCACGTCTGTCTCCACCGAGGTTTCTGATCAACGGACAAACTGCTTCCTCTTTTGAAATTTAGACGTCTGACAGTGGTTGATTTTGATATTTTTGGTCCAACTGATTGTTATTCTGAAAGATTTTCTATCTTCTGATGCTGTAAATGGATAAATGCTTGTGGGACAGACCCCCGACTGCCTGCGAACCGCAAAATCAAACATTGCTGTAGCTATACTGTTTTCAAAATATGTTGTGATCCGTGCTAGCTTTATCAAATTCGCCGTCCTCTAGTTTCCTCAACTAATTGATTCCATCCAGGCTAATTCAGCTGATGCCTTATTTATAGAGGAAGGAAGTGACAGCAAAAAAAACTCAGTTTTTTTAATAGAACGAAGGAAAATTTTACTTAGTTTGAAATAGAAAATGGTTACTATGTGCGATGGCGTACACTTCTGTGAAAAACTACCTCCCGGGTCTCATTCGCGGTAGAGTGAGGCTGATGAGAATCCGACCCAGATAACTGATCAAAAATCACTGCGATCTGAGGTGCTGTTGCAAGTTTGTCTATATTTAAAAGGCCTGTCTAACTGCCTGGCACATAGGACAAGTGGTCTTAGAAAGAAGTTTAAGTAAATGAGTGTGGTATGAATTCTTTCGTTATTGTTAACTAAAACATGTTACTTCGGTCAGGGATTATTCAGTGGGAAAGCTATCATCCTCTGGGAGATTTGGAAATTGATGTGTAAGGAAAGAAACCCAGCGAAGCAACAAGGGAAACACCGTACATAAAGGAGAGGAAGAATTTGTTCTGAATCAGAACTACAGAGAACTTGATGTGTAGCGTTGTTAAATCGGAACGAATGCATGTTGACCGACCAATTCACCTTACTCACTTGACCAGTTGTCTAATCACTGCTCGCGGTTCAGATGCAGCCAGCCAATATGTCACCAGTTTATTTGCATGGAATAAGCGATTAATGGCTGAGTCTGAGCAAAAAGAAAGAAATAGAATAGAAGCATCTGTGAGAACTATCGGGGTTGGTTGGCGGAGCGATGGTCGTCCAGCAAACAGATTGTTCACTGTAACCAATCATCGATAATTTTCATAATGCACATTCCACTGTTTGAGTAACCATTTGGTTAGATTGGATATCCCCTGCATATAAAAACGAACTTAATTCTGAAGTCAAACTGATGGGGTGTGTGGCATACGTTTGCGTCAAGTAATCATATGAGATGGATGCAGTAGGCAAGCAAATCTTATTTGGAGCCGATTAATGCGGATCTTGCTTCAACCGGACACTTATAAATCAGTTGGTGGGCGTTTCTGTAAAGGCTGATAATTAGGTCAGTCATTGTATTTTTCTTCTTCAGCACAGGGACGTCTTAACTACATTCCAGCATTGAGTTTTATACTAAAACAATAGCTCATTTGAATAATCGTGACTTCGTTGAGAATATCACCACACCCTATTAGCAATAATGGTGGTAGGCTGTTACGGACCGTTGCGTATGCATTATTGTACATTTCTGCCGATATGATGTTTTCTGTGGTTTTATGTACATCAAAAAGAGCATCATTCAGATTCGAAGATTTTTATTGATGATCCGTATGTTGGGGATAAATTACGCCTTGATTGACCGATAACGCGATTGTGGACCGACCGTGAGAGTGAACTCTTTCAGGGAGCCTAGTTTGAAGACATTAGTGTAGTACAGCGCAGCTGCTGGGCCTAACATTTCACGACTGTACATACAGAGGAGATGAATTAGCGCAACTTTTGACTCCAGGTGAATGTCTTCCAACAGTTCAACGTTCAGTTTGGTGCAGCCTATGGGCGCCTTCTTATCTTTCTTACCACACGGAATGCACATTTTATCCAGATTTGTTTGAAGTGAAAAGACGGCCCATACTCAGATAAAATAGCTTTTGGATTGGTGACACATATCGAATACAATAAGTACACGACTGATTTCTAGTGAAAGATCCGGGTCATTGGTGGCGAGTACTTGATGGTGGAATAAGTCTTTCTCATGCTGTAAGCGCTGTTCGATGAATATCATTTCGTTTCTGACTTGTATGAAATATTTATCCAGATGCGTCATCGATTTTATACAAATTGCAGCTGCTTGAAGCATCGGTGGCCCCGGGTCTTGTTGATAGTGACCAAATTAACTCATCTAGAGAACAAAATCCATAAGGCGCGCACCCGTATAGCTTGCATATAGCTAGTGTTGGTGAGGCGGTGATAGTACTGACGGCGGAGGCATGCAAGTAGTATGTTTTCTTGTAAATTCGCTTTGCGTCTCTTGAAAAGGGAGATCTATTGCGGAATTTGTGGAGTCGCTTTGTAGCATTTGCTTGGATTCGAGCAACAGTCAATGAATATCCAGGAAAGTTCAGGAAGATGCTTTCAAGAGAAGATGAATGTTCAGTTTTTGTAAACAAGATGCATATGAGAGTCTTGCTTCCCTGTCCAATAGTCTGTAACTGGTCAGTTGGCATTTTCTAATAAATAACTCCGCAGCGAAGTGCCTTCTTCCTTTCACCAGTAGTAGGACTGCGATTCGTATGAAGTATGTCACAAGCTATCAAATCCGTCATGCCATCTCCGTATCACATATAAATGTTGCTCGAGGTATACCGAAATCCTCAGAATGCCAACAAAACAAGTCACAAAATGAACCACGCTATCCGCCAGATTTTGTAGGCGTGCGACTCTAGGGAACAACACAACACAAGTGATTCCCTCGCCCCTCTAACGTAAATACCTCACACTGGTTATGGTTGGTTTTAGAAACATGCGTTTATTGAATTTCGATATCATCATCAGAACTTGAAGTGAACTTTTCAAGATTTACAGACAGTACAGCTTAGAAGGAATGTGACAATTCAGCCTACAACTTTACCTCGTTGTTGCATTTGAAGCCCATGTCACTAAAATATATTGAAACGTCCCCGACAGTGAATACAAATATTTTCTTGAGAATTGCCTGAGGGGATTTCTCTCAAACATATTTTGTGCTTTTGTGTCGGCCATGCGCTACATGTCTGCTCTTTCCGTGTTTACAGCAAAATCATTGTGTACCGCTGTTAACAAGTGGATTAACATTTCAAATAGGAGGATTTGTGGAGCAGATCCAGACTTTTTTCCAAGTGATCTCTCATTCTTCGTCTCCTTTTGGTTTCCTGTACCCATAATGTGTTACGTATTCCCTCCGAATCAGCTTGCAAACGGTGTCTACTTTTATTTCGATTTCCATGCCTGAGAAGGCTTTTAGTACCTGATATTTATGATACATTTTGACAGTCCGGAGCTTATTGCAACCACACCATTCCAGCTGACCCGAATGGCGGTGCATTTTTAGATCTCATCATGTCTGTTGAAATTAACTCTTCGAAACAAGTAGCGACCACTACGCGATTCACCGTTTTGAAAGGGAAGATGGTTAACGCTATATGGAACGCATTCCGTGATATACTTTAGATATTTTGCTTTTCTAACAGCTTATGACACTAAGCTCCATTTGGCTCTTAACTGCGCGTTGTCTTTCGATCGACTCTTTTATTCTTATGACTCTGCTTGGCCGTGAGGTGATCTGCTGGTACAGTGCCTAGCAAATCCAACTAAGTACCTTTTTGAACTGGCAACTTTAAACCTATTTCAATCCTCAAACGTAAATAAAGATAACACTGTGTTTTAGGAAGCCACTGAATCGCTCTAAAGAAAGTCTGCATCAGAAGTAGTTTTTTGACTTTTAAGATGCTAGTTCTCCTATCTTGCTCAGTTGTTCGTGTCAGTTCACTACCACTAAATAACGCGCCCTACCTCTTAGTCCTTGAAAACCGGGTCCCCGAATGTAAGGAAAGTCCACTAGTTAAATGTCATGTCGTCATGCAGTCACACAATTATTTTTGAAGACATGCACATGGTACTCATCTGTTTTAGATCCGTCGATATATTCTGAATGAATTTCTCATGCGCCGACTGGTAACCGCATATCTAGGCATCTTTGTGGCCAGAATGTCTCACATATTCGTCCCACTGCTCTTGGTCCGATCGATGATATGGTCTTCGCAGAAGCGCGACTACAACGTGAAACGTAGGGTAACAACGAATGGTTTGGATATATGGGTACCTGTATTGGTGGGACTCAGCCCTTGTTGACAACCTGGGCAGGTGGTCGGCTTAAATGAGTTGTGTGCGATCGGATGAGAAGTGAATGAGGCGTAAACTGGAATAATTTACACAGATTCCACAATTCGGTTAAATACCGCGTAGAATTAATGGTGAAAAGAGCCATGAATTCATGTGTGATTCAGCTGGGGTTAACATAGGTTCGTTTTTGGGCTAAAATAATAAGGTCATCCATTCGGTTTTACCATCAGATTAACGTGGCACATAGCTGGGTCTCTCGTTTTGATATTCAAGTAGGTTATAAGTTCAGGCAGTTTGACGAAAATTCAGAGACGACGCCTGCCTGATGACCGCCAAGAAGGTCGAATCCGTTCTTGCGCTGTCGAAGTTTTTTGGCAATATTGTGAGTAGTGTGTTGCACCTATACAAGGCTAACCATGTTTTATTTTTAAAACTATGCGAAATCCACTCGGATGAATTTGTGTTTTGATGCATACAAAATGAACCCTAGTTGGGTGTGTAGTTGACACCACGACATTTTAGTTGTTTTGTTAAATAGTTGGATCTTCATTTGTGCAGCCAGGTGCTACGTGAACGCTGGAATTTAGACGAAATGGTCGGTCAGATTGAAAATGACAAAAGGACGCCCATGGGTTACGGCAGAATACAATATCGAGGTAAGTAAAGTGATATCGCCATGATACCGTAATAGTTTTTTTACCTGCGCTGATAAAACTGCACTGATTCCCCGACATTTTTAACTCCCTGAAGGACAGAAAACGTTTGAATGGATAACATCACTTTCGACCTGTCATGCTACTAGTGGGATACTGGATTATCACCATGTAAAAACAGATCATTTATACATTATCGCTTGACAACTTAGTAGGTCTGAATCTCAGCAAAATGTCATTTACAGGTGAGCGCAGCAGTCAGTGGGAGCTGAAAAGCATCATTCGACTGCGTTGGAAAAATAGGCCGCGTATTGACTTATCCAATTCTTCATACTACTCGCGCCTGGAGAAACTTTACTCGCAGGAAAACCCTCGGTTTGCTGCGCGGGCGCCCGGGCTTCTACTCTTGATCGATAATTTGATTGAAAGTGTGGGTTTAATAGGAACCGTCGACATCGGTACTAGCTGGATTTAAACTGCCCCACGTGTTGTTTGGGTTGATATCATCAATGACGATACAGATATATGTAATGACGATGCTGTACGATTCGCTTAATGAGTGCGCTTAACTGCTGAGTTCCGAGTTTATTCATAAATGGATCTCTGAGAACTGGACCTGAAGAAAACTTCATTGCAACCATACTGAACATAGCGTGTACAAAGTGTGATGTTCGTGGTAAACGGTGCATGATCTCAAAACAGAACACATGAGGGTTTTTGGATTTTAGGCTATTGAACTGGTTGAACAGGCTCATGGATCATAATTTGTTGGTGCGCACGGACTGACCTAAAAAGTTCATGGCAAACCTCAATGGTTACTCAAAGGTGGTTCCCCCAGAAAACAGGATGCTGGAGTACTTTCTTCGTAACCGTACCTTGCATAGTGCTTATACTATTCCGTTATAGCAGCAAACCCCTGGAGGTGGATGAATTCACCAGTTTCCAGATTTCTTACTACAGGATCTACCCAGGGGCGAATGCCCCTTTTAAAGGAATGACCTGGCATTTTACGGTTGGCTGCCAACTCCTTGAGAAGTATGCCGACTTCAGCGAACAAACCAACGACCATCATTATAAACTGTTATTCAAGATTCTGCTGGTGCGAGCCAGATATTGCCATTGACAGAATATACGACCGAACATGAGATTACACAATGTCACTGGTTTTGTGGCT